TTTTTTTCGGAACCAGGGATTGAACTCAGGCCCTTGCACTTGCCAGGCAAGTGCTTATTCTATTGAGCTACTGAGCCATCTTCCCGGCCCCAAGAGGCTATATGTTCTGAGACACTTCCCTCTTAATTCTGCCACTTGCCACTATGACATTCTCATGCTCGCTGCTGTAATCCTATGCCCCCCTTGCTGTTCCTTGAACTTACCTGGCACTTTCTTTCTCAAATGCATCTTTTTTGTGCCCTGAAACTTATTTTCCTGGATAATTTATATGACCCCATCCTTTTAGGATCTTGCTTAAATGTTGCCTTTTTGGAAAGGCCTTTTGCACCACTCAGGATTAACGTCTAGTTAGTTAGAATCCCCTGTGCCTAGTACTTTTGGTCTTCCCTACCATCCTGTTTTTCTTCATAGTAGTTATAACTTATTTATGTATTACAAACTTGTCCTCTTCTTGCTCAAGTATAAGGTCCATGGCGATAGGGACTTCTTTTTCTTCATAACATCTCAGTTCCTATGACAACAGTGTTTGATACATTATAAACATTGAATAAAATCTATCAAATGAGTTTAAATGAAAAGATGTTTGATAAATAGCTTTTCTGTGTCTCTCTGAATGGTTGTATAATGCAATATTTAGCTCATTGGGTGTTTCTCTTTATCCACAGTGCAATGGTCAGTTCTGTTCAAGGAGCTACGTATCCTACCCAGGCTGGAATATATAGTCCTCCTCCTGCTGCTGCTGCTGTTGCCGCAACTGCTGATGTCACAATCTACCAGAACGCAGGAGCTAATATGTCCCAGGTGCCAAACTATTCCTTAACATCGTCCACCCTGTCTCAGCCAGGAGCCAGCCAACAGCCACCTCAGCCACAGCAACCCTACTCTCAGAAGGCTTTGCTATAGGACCTGGTTTTCTGCTTTGTGGCAAAAACCTGCTAAATGCCGCTGACAATGTTACAAGATCCATTAATATTTTAAGATTTGTTTATCCTCGGCTTATAGGCATCTGTTTTGGTCAACAAGTTCAAATATTTAAGAAGGTAAAACTCTCCGATTTGCACAGATATTTTAGAGGTTCACCTCTCCTTCTCCCCCAGAGGACTGCAACTACTTACGGCATTTAATTCCTTTCATCATATGAAGAATTGACACAAGATTATTTGTCTCGTAAAATTATCTGGTCTGCAAAAAGTCAAACTTACAAAAACTCTTGTGGCATATGTTATGTACATATATTGATATATAACTTCATTAGTGGCCATTGGAATCACAGTGGTGATCATGTGAATATATTTAACACTGTGTTAAATTAATTTACTTTGCTGTTTTATTTTAGTCATGACAACTACTCTGTTTCCTAATGTTTTATGTAAATTTAAGGTAATTACACTATCCTTTTAACTGCGAGAGAACAAAGTTGTAGCATATTCATGTGAAGGCATTGTTGTCTAACCTTCCTTTTACTATTTTACTAATTGTGAGCTACACTTAAGTATACTACATTTTTTCTGTGGCCTCTCCATACTACTGGCTGTCATCACACCAGCGTACAGTAGCTAAATTTTTGCTGCAGGTATAAAAATGATAATATTCCCCTTTAAACTTCCATTTTGGCATGATATTTCAGATATTGTGGGACCACGAGACAAAATTAAGTAGAATCATGTTCTTTACATCTTGTTTTTAAAGAAATAATGTCTGTTTCCTTTTTCCTAGTTGAAGATAGCAATTAGGTTTCTAAGCTGTATACTGTGTTAATTGGTGGCAGTGACACCAAAGATAGAGGCAATGGGTAGAAAGTTTTAAGCTTGAAAGAAAACATGAGTTACACTACATTTTCTGTCTCTTGTAATTACTTAGGATAGAAACAAAATTTGATTCATCTGTCCAACCTAAGTCTTTTAAATATGTCTCTAACACATTGTATTCTTTAATTCTTCATTAAAATGGATATAAGTAGATCTTTCACAGTAATTTATATTCCTGGGTTTGCCTTTCAGTTTATGTATTTATTGTTTCCTTTCAGACTGGCATTTGGGCTGCTCGCTGCCCTTTCAAGTTCTGATGAAGTAACTTTGGCTCGTGTTTGGAACTATTTTTGAATGATTGTTTTTCTTTTAATTCATACAAAAAATGTTTTTCACTGATGTTTTAATCATAAATATTTATAATTTCCTTGGTTGTGTGCTACTACAATTTTAACACTATTATTTTAAAAATCTGAAAAATTGAGTACCATTTTTAATGAGTTGATTTAACAGGTTTTATACTACAAATGCAAATATGATTTGTATTTTCTAAGATTGTTGCAGTTAGGTGGATTGTTTGGCAAATGACTCCATCTTTGGTAGATAATCTTAATGGTGAGTGATTTCACAGGTTCAGATTTAAAGCACCATCTTTAGACTGATGTTGTATTTTCCTGAGTTTAAAGAATATTGTCCTCAAAAACTAATTTCAAAATTTCCATTCAAATTCCAATCTTTAAGTACTTTTATAAGTTACTTTTGATACACATTGTTGAAGAGATCATAATCTTTTTTGTTCCAATTTGAATATTATGTTTTAACTGATCTACTTTTCCCAAGTCATATTGTATTTTTGTCATGCTAAATTTTTGTTTATGACTTTATGCTCTTAACATTTTAATTTTGATATTTGTCATGTTATAAAATCAATTAAATATTTCTAATTTTTTTTACCCTATGAAAGTAAAAGAATGGTGAAGTGCCAAAAACAAAACAATCCAAACAGACAAACAAACAAAAAAAAAAATCCAGACCCACACCCATACCTTTTATTATAATGCATGTACAATTTTTCATTACCTGTTTAGTTACTTGGCTTGTAAAGATTTAAATTACAAGTACTTAAAACTGATACCATATTAGTTTGTGCTTTTCACTTATTAAGAATGAATGTGCCAGGTGAAAAGTTTTCAATGAAAATTGTAGCACTGGCTTTTCCATCTTTCACAGGAAACAGCAAGGATGGAAATAGGATGCTAGTTAGGGTCACAGTGATTTTTTTGTTTGAAACCTGTTGCATTGCACTTTCCAGGAATCTTTCATTAATAGATGTCCTTATTTTGAAGGAGTAGAATTTATAAAATCAACTAACTGTAATATAAACTTCTGTGAAGCATTTTTATTTCTCAGTTTATTTCTTTCATAAAGTTTGAGGTATGTTTCCATAAGGATGACACTAAGTGGAAGAAATTGAATCCAGTTACTGTGTAGCATAAATAGCCAACAGACTCCATGGTTCATTGGATGTAATAATATATGAGTGTCCTAAAACTACTACAAGTGATTTATAATACATACTTAATATGATTTTATAGTCTTTTCTAACTTGGTGGTCTTCCTTTACTATTACCTGTCTCCCCTACTCAGTGAGGGACCTTTTGATATGCCAGAGGACTCTCTTCGTATTAAATCCATGTATAACTTCTTTTTCCTGTACTTCTTAGTTCTTATACTTAAAATCCTTAGGAGTCCATTGTCCTTCATTTCTGATAGAGGCAGGTTTCCTATATGATATATGTCTTAATTGAGCTTGAAAATCCCTTTTTCCAAAACATCAAGGTGGTATATGAAAAACATGAAGTCCTATGTAATAAACTGCAGCTATAAAAATTATAGAAATTTTCTAAAATGAGGTTGATTAGTATATTCAGTCAAATATTCATCTATTATACATTAAAACCACTGTTTTCGTTTTCTCATCTATTTCCTTGTTTTACTTACCGGTTGTACTAATAATGATACTTTTTGGTTATAAGGCTTTTAAATTTTAATAACAAAA